CCAAATTTTGTTAACATTCTCTTTCTAATTTAAAAGTTATAGCATGAAAAATATAACAAACACAAAATAGTTACGAGGTCAGTCCCAGGGACCAAGCCCATGCTGAAAGAGTTAAGAAAAGTGTTACTGATTTCAGTAAATATTGTTGTTTTTAAGTCTAGTTAATTTTTCACATTTTGTGTACTTTTTTAAACCAGAGCCCCCCAGTTCTCCCCAGGAGATCAGAGTTCTAGAAACAAGAAGTAGGTCAACGACAATACAATGGGACACACCTTATGATGGAAATAGTCCTCTCCTATTCTACATCATTATGCTCAAAAATGAATCAGGTAATTGAACAGCAATTTGAATACATGAATCATTTTTGTTCCTGGAATAATAATCTTGGATATACATTTGAGTGGAGAGTTGTTTGAATAATTCTATTTTTGAGCTCTTTTTGACTTAAGCCTTAAGTTATTATCTAGATTTATATTACCATATATATCACTTGTAGGGGGCTAGCTTTTGTTTAGTATTTCAAGAATGTTAATATATTTACATATATAAGTTAGAAATTATTGTGGTTTATTTGTTTTATAATTTTTGTTAATGTTTCATTTCTATATTTTTAGGGCAGGGGAATGAACACTTGTCAAATATAACAGTAAAAGCCACTGAGAACAAAATAGTAATAACAGGTCTACATCCCTCATTTACTTACAATATTTATGTTTTATCACAAAATGCACTTGGAAGCAGTGAACCATCAAATACCATTAATATTACAACAGAAGAGGAAGGTAAGTTTTTAATGTAACATATTTGGATTTTTGGTTAGTTTTAGCAGCTATTTGTAGTGCAGGTAAATGAACTTTACCAATTTTGTTTATACACACTGCAGTATAAAATAGTTTTTTTTTTTAAGATTTAATATAGATGCGTTGTGAGGTAACAATTATATTTTATTTTCAGCTATGGTTTTATTTATTATTTATGTATTTTTTCCTTTGTGTCATTTCTTTCAGTTATATTTTTATTTGCCTTAATTTAAAAATGCTAGCTCACCTGTCTTTTAGTGCATATTGAATATTAAATGAGGTGTTTTTATATGATGTTCCCAACATGAGGTTCCCCTAGCAGTGGTGTATAAATACTAAGTTCATATATGATTATATAAAGCAAATGCTAATTTTTAATCTTGTGGGATGTAATCTCGGGGTTTGAGAAGGAAATAAAAGTGATTTCTGCTTGGAAGTTAACCAATACTGGTGAAAACAATGTGGTATATGAATATACCACACATTTCGTTCTTCTTATAATATTATAGTAGTTATTCTGAATTTATAATTTATATTGTATATGTGCAGGTTTCACATAATATGTGGTCAAGTAAACCATTAAGAGGATTTCTTTCTAAGCTACCTTTGTTCCTTCTTGTTCTCGAAATGGATGATAACTGTTATGCCCATGGAAGGTATTGCTGCAGTACTGCACATTGTGCAAGGATGTCAACAGCAGTGTCTTTCAATGATAGTTTAGGTAATGTCTCAAGATTACAGATGCATTTGTGTTTCTATGAAAATGACAAGTCACTTGGGCAGCACTAGTTGCTCTAGGTTAATATGATGCAAAATAAGGAATGGTGGATTTATATAGGCTGGTACGTGGATTTATCTTGAGCAGTTGAATGTAGAAGATCCACTAGAAGTGACTGTTCCATGTTGGTAAAGCAAGTACACACACTGTGTTTGTGGTTTATGTGTGATATAATAAAGACTGTTCCTTTTCATGTTTCACTTTGTGTCCAGTCTCTTTATTTTACCTGTTATCAAAATCAGTTACTCAGAGATATAGCAAATCTCCTATCATTAAGAACTCATTGCTCTAAGATTACTTCAGTTTTACCTGGATATATCATAGGGAAGATAGGAAGGAGAAAATTTTGGTACTGTGACTGCAGGATATCATATTGCAGAGTTTGCTATTTCTGATTAAGTGCTTAACTTTACTTAAACACTTGTGTTTTAAGTTTTACACAACTAGAAGGACTTATAATCAATAGAGAGAGTTCATCACTGAGGGGAGATAGTGTCTAAGAGAATTGTCTGGTTTAAAAGAAGTTATATCCTGGACGTTCAGTAAAAAGAGCTGCAAATGTCTTGTGTACACAGAAAGGTTTTCTATCTCATCCTGTAATAATCAACCACATTGTGAGGAAAACACAGATGACCGTGTGACACGTAAAATATGTTTATTGATTATTAAAAGTGATAAAGGTTTTGCAAGTAGTAACTTCACTATTATTTTTGATTTGACGTTATTTTTGAGAAGTCTTTGACATTTTTCTTTCATGTAATCTTACAGAATTAGTTTTTTCTTATTCTGATTCTCTCATTCATTATTGTTATACTATGAGATTTGATATTGACAGGGGACCTTTTATTCCATTTGGGCAGATCTATCCACTAAAACTAAACAACAACAAATAAAATACTGAAGCTGGCCCTTATCATTCTAATATTTACAAAGCATTCCCTTAAACTCCCTTAAGTTAACAGCATCCATCATATCTAAAGGCAACCCATTCAAAGGCTAACCATTCTGTTTGCTTTTTTTAGCTTAAAATGACTAAATAAAGCTGTTTCTGATAAGGTACTTCCCTCCACTTGCAACATTAGCTTTTCTCATTTTGTGTTGCCTTCTGTATAAGAACTTTTCAGAAATGCATGCCACAAGCCTTCATCATCCTCCTCTTGGAATCCAAAGTTCCAACACATCTCACATGCAAATCATCATGTGTCACCTCCTCACCAATAGGAGAGCACTACTATCATGTGATGCATGTGACTCCCTCTATGCACCATTACCGACCTATCTCTTCTTGTTTGGCTGCTGTCAATTTCAGACATTTTTTCTTAGATTATTCAGTTACTTTGAAGTGGTTTATTTTTTATTTCGCATTTTTTCTTAACTTTATTTACTACACTTCACAGTTTATGAGTTAATGTTTTTATTAAAGCATTACTTCCTCGTGTTTGCTGCTTTTTCTCACTTATGAATTGTGAAGTTACATTCACCACTTCAGGTACTTTGCCAGTATCTAATGTATTTTCAGCCACGGGCGACATGCTGGAAGATGTATTGTTGCTCATTCACTGGGAGATTGAGCAGTATATGAGCCAACCTCCCTTGCCTACTTTTGCCCCACTTCCTACTTCCTTTCGAGCTGGTCCATGCTGACGACTATTTTGATCACTTGTTCTTCCCCCCCTAGAGTTTGCCATGCCTTCCCGTTCACTACTTGATGATTCACCTCGTCTGTCATCAGTTTTCTCAGACTTTATCTCTCAGGTATGTGATATTTTGTCTCTTACACCTGTTTCCTATGAACCTAGACCTTCCCTCTTACATGAAACATCTCCTGACCCTATTTAGACTTTCCCATGTTCCTTGATATTAGGGTTCATGCATGGGGAAGGGTGTTAGTATGCCTCATCCCCATATACTTTGGATCAGACCATCCTTGATTATCATCGGGCAGACTTTCCCTTTCTCAACCAACAGTTTTTGGGGTTGGTTCTACCTGTTTAGGGGGTAAACCCAGATTATCCTGTCCAACTTACCCTCATGACCCTGTTAAGGTACCTTTCCTCTCTTCACCTTCTGTCAGAAGCTCTTCACAGGAACCCTGAGGATTTTTCTGCTGAAATGCACTTCATTTTTACTTCTGTGTTGGCTCATCTGTCGTCTTCGGCTCTTGTGCTTCAAATGTGGTTTGTTTGTTGTTGGAACTTCTTGGGCTGTGATGCAGTTTTGGCACGGACTCATCTTCAGGCTCCTTATCTGAGGGACCTCTACATGGCACCATTTTTGTAGTGTTATGTCTTTGACTCGGTTCCTGAGTCGTTGAAGCCATGGGTGGCTTTGGCTCATCAATATTTTACACTTGGTAGCTCGTTTGTCGCAGTCGGGACCAAGTGCAGCACTGGTTCCTGTCTCCTGACCTTCCCAACCTCTTCCTGTCCCACCCTCCCATGGTGTCACGGTTCGACAATTCAGTTGATGATGCATGATCCACAAACAGTAGTACCATTGATTACTTTGTCGGCTTGGGCCCAGTGTGGACTGGTCTCTTCAATTTTGTTCATTGGTAGGGACCTTTTCTTGCTGATGTCTGAGTTCACATAATGCTCTTGGAGGGATATGTTATCCCCTTTCTCTCGATTCCTCCCTTCTCAAGTATTTCCATTACCTTCCCCTCTCCTCGGTATCCCTCAACATGCCAGTGTCTGTCAGAGGCAGTTCAGGACCTCATTGTACAACAGGCTATCAAACCAGCTCCACCAGGTTCAAGGGGTTTTAACTCCCACCTGTTTGTGGTTCCCAAGAAGACTGGGGACTGGTGTCCTGTCATTGATTTATATTATCCTGTCTCATTCAGTATGTTCACACTTATTGCTTTACTATGTAGACATAGCTTTTTCTTCGGTGGGAATTTTCTCCAGGTTTTTGTACTACGAAGGTGGACGTTTCCAATGCTTACTTACACATTCCTGTGGCAGAGCATTCACGTCCGTACCTTTGGTTTATCCATTGGGAGTTGTGTACCAGTTTTGTGCCTTACCTTTCTGCCTAGGCTTAGCACCATACGTGTTTTATCATGTGGTCCACTCCTTTGCTCGGCATATTCATGCCATGGGGTTGCACTTCCATGTTTATATGTATGACAGGCTTCTTCTTGCTCATTCTGAATGGGAATTGGCCTGTCACACTCGTCAGCTCCTGGCGGAAGCTGCCGAAGTATTTCCTTTGTCATACCCAATACCTTATCCATTTGGGTGTTTTCTTCAACATCCATCTCAGTCAGGCCCAACCTTCTCCTCTCCAGCACCATTCTATGGAATGGGACATTTGGAAAGCTCTGCCTGTTCCCTCACTTACAGCCCAGGAGCTTCTATAATTTTTGGGGATGTGGTCCTCCATAACCCTTCTCATACCCCTGGGTAGGGCCCATGTGTGGTTTCTTCAATGGGTCTTTCACAATCAATGGAAATTTGCCTGGAATCCCTTGGATACTTCTATATCCCTTCCATCATCCCTTGCAGACAATCTCAGTTGGTGGTTGAAAAGGGCCCACACGCCTATGGGGGTCCTGCTTCTTCCTCCGTGACCAGATTTACATCTGTTCATGGATGCATTCTTTCAGGGCTGGGGTGCCTGGGTGGATCATCAGGAGGTTTTGGGTCATTGGTCTGTGGAGGAGAGTTCTCTTTGCATCAGTGTTCTCGAACTCCTGGCTGTTCTTTGGGCTACAGATCATTTTCTTTCTCTTGCCAGCTGGTTATGATCTATTCCGACAATTCTACCATGGTGGCATATATCGACCACCAAGGTGACACCAGTTCCAGATCCCTGTGTTTTTGCACTATGGTTCTTCTTTATTGGGCCCACACACATCAAATTCGTTTGACATGTCATGTACTGGGTGCTTTCAATCACATAGCTTATCATCTTTCCTGACCGAATTGCATTTATCCCATGGAGTGCTCCCTGCATCCTGCCGTTTTTCAGTGGCTCTGTCAGCATCTGGGTATGCCCCATATCAGTGCCTTTTGGTCTCCTCGATTTCGGGGTTTCGTGTAGTGTTATCACTTACCTTCTGTTTTTCCCATTGCCACAGTGTCTTTGCTTCTCCTGTCCATTCTATGTTGATCCATTCTTTCTGGCTCCATCGGCCATAGAGGTGTCCATCGCTCCTGGACTGGGACATTAACATGGTCCTTCATGCCCTCACTTTTCC